CCAAGATTGCCAAGTCCCTCTCTCTCTTCTCCTTCAGCGCCTCATAGTGGGATAGAACAGCTTTTTCTTTCCTGAAGTGTTGCGCAGAGTATTAGATTGGACGGGTGAGGTCTATGCATGTCAAACCGGGTTTTTCTTTATGGGAAATGGGTTCTGGAGAACTCTATACTGGGCCATGACAAGCCCTGATCTTCACGATTTTAAGACTCCATCGCTGTAATGTGGATGAAAATTTGGAAAGCACATCAAGAGATAGTAACACTCTATGTGAGTGGGGATATATGGGAGAGTGGAGACAGAGAGTGGATGGATATGAGAAATGTCTGGAGCTGTAACGATTCCTGGCCAAAAAACTAGGTGGATAGCTGGGGAGGGGGTGGATAATCATTCAATCTGGAACCTCTAGAGCTTCATGTGCCTAAGGAATCCAGTCAACTGGACACAGACGTAATCACAGTGTAGGAGTCCCCAAGGTCATGGTTATGAGTGGAACCAGCCAAAGACAGAATGAGGAGTTACCCAAGAATGGAGGCTCTCACCACTGCAGACCTCAGGTAGTACCAGGCTGCAGGCCCCAGAAGGACAAGCATTTGGCCAGTGCTGTTGATAATAGCATCCCTCCTCCTCGGGCCTGATCCCAGCTGGGAAGTTAGCAATGTGTCTGCTCTGCTTCTATTTGCCACTTTGAGAGCTTGTCGTAATTACTGCATTTAATACTTTGTCTTTATGAAATAAGTGTATTAAATCATGCTGCTTAACGCAGTTCTCCCTATAGGGAAAGCCCTTCTCTCTTCTTTCTTGCAAATCCAGAGACTCATTCAACTGTTGGAAAGGAGTTATCATTAGACAGACAGAACACATTCTCTCTCTCTCTCTCTCTCTCTCTCTCTGTCACACACACACACACACACACACACACTCATCACATGTCTCAGTTACAAATGGAAGGTGTACTAAAAGTCTGAAGGTACTTTAAGGACTCTATCTTAAAGCAGTGGTCTTGGGACAGGCATTGGCCTACCAGCTGGCCTGCCATTTGGCATCCCCACATCCAACACTGGGCTCAGCTCAGCTTCTCATCCAGTTTCCTTCTAATGTGTGCTCTGGAAGGCAGCCAGTGATGGCTTGGACAGTTGGGTCCCTGCCACCCATGTGGGAGACTTGGATTGAGTTCTCAGATCCTGGCTTTGTCCTGACCCAGCCCCCAAAGCTGCAGCCATTTGGGGAGTGAACCACTCAATGGAAGATCTCTATATCTGTCTGTTTCTCTCTGTGTGTCTCTCTGCCTCTCAAAAAAAATTAATTAGCTAATTAATGCAGTATTCTCCAAAGCAGGGCCATCTGCCCTGGGAATTCCACAAGGCTCTCCACGGGGTCCATGGGCATACACAGTGAAGCAACTTCTAGAACTTTCAGTGCTTCAGAAAGTGTCTGTGTCGGACCCTGCCAGTGTGACTTTGGTGTCTCCCCTTGCAGCAACACTCATAAACCTCAGCAGGCTTCAGAGTCACCAGGAGCTCTAGCAAATTCCGGCTGCCATGCCCACCACCCGCATCTCTAATCAGGAGAGCAGAGTCCAAGGGATTGCAGATTGCAGCTCTTTTTTTTTTTTTTTTTAAGATTTATTTATTTGAACATCAGAGTTACACAGAGAGAGAGAGAGAGATAGGTCTTACATCCAGTGGTTCAATCCCTAATTGGCAGCAACGGCTGGAACTGCACTGATCTGAAGCCAGGAGCCAGGAGCTTCTTCCAGGTCTCCCATGCAGGTGCAGGGGCCCAAGGACTTGGGCCATCTTCTACTGCTCTCCCAGGCCATAGCAGAGAGCTGGATCGCAAGTAGAGCAGCCAGGTCTTGAACCGGTGCCCACATGGGATGCTGGCGCTTCAGGCCAGGGCGTTAACCCATCTGCGCCACAGAGCCAGCCCCAGGGCTTGCGTTTCTTACAAACTCCTAGGTGATACTAATGCTGATGTGCTGGGGAACACACTGAGAACCAGAGAGTACACAACCACCCCTTTCCTGCTTCATGTCAAAAACGCCCACCACTTGAAACAGCCTCTCACCCTCGCTCAGTCTTCAGGTGGCTGCCAGCACAGAGACCAGCGCTGCTGCTGATGCTGGGACTCAGCTTGGACCAAGCCAGGTGAATATAAAAACACAAAACTAGGGAGGACTTTCACTGAGGTCAGAGGAGATGTACTTGAAAATTACTTTTGAGAGGTCATGTGTGATTTTGGAGCAGCATTCAGGACAAGCTTAAGAAGTGGAGTGCCCTTACTTAGTAAAGTTATTGTTTCCATCGACCTATTTATATGAAAAACATTTTCTCACTATTTAAAGCTAGGAAAAAAAATAGGACTGGAATTGTATCTAAGTCATGCCATAGTCTAGTGTTAAGTCATTATTTACCCATGGAAATATGAACTGGAAAAACAGCACTAATCATCCTCCTGTAGAGACATCATTGTAACAAAATTCTATCGTTTGTATAATTATATTTCAAATTTTAAGTTTTATGATGTTCCAGTCAACTGTGCATCAGCAACTTACAATGATAACTCAATCCAGCAAATATCTCCCTTCTATAGTTCTGTGCTCAGAATCTGAGTACAAATTTTGGTGTCAATAAGTGAGATTTCAAAAACTCATAGAAAATGAGTATAACACAAAGCAACTATGAATGGATTTCATTTTTTGACACTAAAATAAGCTTATCTTTTGGTTCCATTTTTACGAATAGAAGATTTTCAATCATACAAATGTATAACTTATGAATACTATTCCATGGGGGATTTAAGTGAAAAAAGTACCTAAAGATTAAAAATATATAAAATTTCTGATTGTTAAAACTTTTTTGTTAAATATTTTTAAAATGGTAATAGGTTATCAAACAACTATGATACTTAGAGTTCACTGAATATATTGAAAAGAGTGCTGTTACATGTTTATTTAGAATGCTTATATATAAAGTATGCCAAAATTCCCTTATAATTATTTAGTTTTATGATGAAAACAATTTTGTTGAGAACTTAAAATGTGAGGGGTACTTAGCTTCCAAATTTATCTTAGATCATCCAATGTCATTTAAGAATTTGTGCCTAAGGCTGTAAAATTTTAATCTTTGGCACAGACCACATAATGAACTCAGACAAAACTCTGAATTAAATTCCAATTAAAACCCAGACTTCGCTTGTTCTGTAAACACCCCAACAAAACCCATTCTTGTTCTATTTTGGCATTTGCTCTCACTTGTCCAGCTGGGATCCAAACAGACAGAAATGAGTAATAATGGGAAAAGATTATACACTGAATGACTCATTCAAGGATCTTTATAAACTTTGTTTAGCTGTGTTTTAGAAAAGAATCATTTGGGTAAATTCTGGCTCGTCTAGCAAACGTGAATTGAAGCACAGTACAAGGAAAGATGCATTAATAAACAATGCAGAATTCTTTTCGCACAAACCATTTTAGAAAACACAAAAAGAAACACATTGAAAGCTTTGAAGTCATCATTGAATCTTTAACCACTCAATAAAATCTCTTACCTTCATCTAGAGCCCTTCTCTCCCAGATTCTTTCTTGGGAAACACGGATCACGCACACAACCAACTCTGAGCATTTCTGTAAGCTATGTCATTTTTTCTGCCCTTCTCCAAGCCCCGTAAGTTTGCAGCCCATGAGATATGATTCCTGGGCAAACAGCTCCTAGATATACAAGTCCTGTTCCTACTGAGCAGCACGTTAAAATGATGGACCCCTTACTATACAACCTCTCTTTGCTGTTTTCCATTTCAACGACCCTGGAAGATCACCTCTCTTAAACCGTCCCCAGTGGCAGCAACACAGTCTTCCCTCTATATGCCACTCAGCCTTGAAAAATGGATAGAGAACCAACTCCTGTTGACACTCAGTAGTACAAGTCTCCTTTAATCCCCCACTCTGTTCCAGATTGCATTTTTGTATCTAGATCAATCACTCAACAAAATGATGATAACTCTAACAAGAGTATACATGCACAAGCAATGCAAATTCTTCCATATTTCCTTGGGATAGGCTTTCTATAAAGTTTTCTGTAAAAGACTGAGCACTCAAAGGAGAAGCTCAGAAAAGAGAACCGTCTCTTCTTTTCCAGATCTTTTCATGACCAACTCGTACAACTCGTAGCATATTTTTGTCATTCCAAGAAAGAAACCACAAAATAGTTTGCAACTCACCTGTGTCCTTTATGATATCGGCTTTATGACTTCAAAGCACATAATGTCTTTGTTTTTCCAAATTACCAACAAAGATATGGAACAAAGTAGCCTGTAAGACTGGGATGTATCCAGTATAAAAACTACACGGGCAAAGACCTGGCCAGCTCAGTCCCTGCCGAATCCCCAGGGCCTCACACAGTGAGAACTTAACAAACCGCGAATGAATGAAAAATGAAGGGATGAGTGGATATCTGCATGGATGGGAACTGACATTTTTGACAGCTTCTGATCATTATTTCAATATGATCATCTGGCCAGGAAATTAATCTCCTAAAAAGATGACAAACAAGCACAAACTTTTCATATTTTTCTTTGGAATATCAAGCAGGCTACAGAGACTACCTGTTTCCACCACACACTAACTATGTGACTTTGGACAAATAACCTGGGCTCTCTTCTCTTAATCCTCCATCATCAGAGAGTAAGGGGAACTCTTTCATGGGCTTCTCATAGATAATGCATGCACAACGCTCGGCTTAGACCATACCAAGCATTCTGTAACAGGAGTGATCACATTCCCTATTGCGAATTTCTTTCATAGTTGACATGAATGCATAGTATGTAGATGAAAACATATTCAGATCCATTATCTCAAGTGTCGTAGGCACACAGATACTCGTCATTGTGAGCCACAAGATTATTGTAGCCAGGCCAGCACCCTGTTCTCCACAATGGAACCGCAATGTAAAATGTTGGTGCGCATGGGGATTTAAAGCAGTAAATAACCAGACAAGTCAGAGTAGTGAAAGAAGGATTTTAGGTTTCTTTGGTGAAACAAATGCAGATATAAAAAGTTACAAAGATTTTAGATTTTTCAGTCACAAAAAAAAGGGCATTCACATTTCACACTATACATGTTATCATATAAATACAGGAAAGTGTAATGTGCATTGTAATGAAAGAGGAAAATGCAAAATCTAACGGTCAGCGCAGGGTTGTTCTCTGCTGCACAGCACCCAAAGGTGGGGTACGCTTAATGCAGCCAGCAGGGGGACCCAGCTTCAAGACACTGTGAATGATTGCAGCAAAGTCACTCCTTCTAAACGCCAAGGGAGGATGTACAAAAGAGCATCAGTGTTGAGCCAACCTCTGTCTGCTCTTTCTCCACTCGCATCGCATGTGTTGTCTAGTCTTCTCAAAGTTGCTCTAACTGACGTTAGGGAAAGAGTCCCGAATGCCTTCTTTGCATCACAGGTTTGTTTTTTTCAACATTAAAGTAAGAGGATAATGATTCAAAGTCGTCTTCAGGAGTCACTTTATTCAAACAAAAGGGAGAAAACAGGGCGTGAAGAAACAGGGAGAAATGTCAACATATACACTCCAGCTAAGGGGGAGGCGCCTACACTACTTCTACAGAGCCGCTCTTTGCAGCAAGTGGACAAACAGCATTTGCTGAAAGCTACGCACTTTTCCACTCTTTCCATAATAAACACTGGATGCAGTCTATCCATCACATTGTTCAATCCGGGACAAAGTACCTATATTATGTGGTTCCAAACGGCGTGAGGGAAGTATAAAAGCTACCAGTGAAAAAGAACTAGCATACTATGGCCATTTTAGGTCTTGGGGCAAAGAACATCCAATAAATTAAATCAGTATGGCTTACTTCATTTATTTAGGTATGCCTCACAGCTGCAGCATCCATACATGAACATTCAAAATTTATAAAAGATTAAAATGGTTATATATACAAAATTTCTTTCTTTTTTTTTTTTTTTTTTGCATGTGTGGTGTGGTTTTCACAATCCCCCCCGCCCTCCAGAGCCCTAGGTCTGTATCCATTGGAAATGTCATGATCTGTGTCCTTATGAGTTAGCGTTATGAAAGCCATTAAAAAGTAGACCTGGTTGAGTTAATCATTAGCACTTGAACCCCTAAAAATTGCTCCTGGTCACAGAAAAGTCCTCCGTTCAGGCCTTTCTTGTAAGTGAAGAAAAAGGAATGCAGCAAAGAGTTCCACAGTGGAGTCCCCATCCGTCAGGAGCCGTGAGCCGGGCCTCGGCACCACGTGGAAGCCCACGGCACCTGCGGCTGAGACGGGCACCGCAACCCGCGAGACTTGGTGTTTGCTGGTTGTCCAGAAAAAGCCGTCTTGCGTCTTGCTGACAGTCCAAGGGCAAAGGAAACCATTTCCAGCCTAAACAACTACATAAAAGCAGCCAAACCAATGATTAAAGACCTCTACGGTTCCATAATCATCATTAAATATGCCTGAACTCAGTGTGACTTTTTCATTTTATATACAGGATTAAAATCAACATTAAATCATCTTATTTACATGGCCATGGGTGCTGAAACTGAGCTTTTTAAATAGGACAGTAGGCTGGTATACATTATGAAATGCTCTGCACCAGAGGCAACTAGAAAACAGGAAACGAGATAGGCTGGAAATGGCTACTGCACGCCCTCGTGTTCTTTCATTTTGCTTGCTTGCTTTCTGAATGCCAATACTTTCATTGAAAATGCTTCGGGAGCACGCGACCCAAAATGACTGGATGGTAGTCCGAACAAACGGGTAACACTTCCCGAGGGGATGGGAAAGGCACAGGGAGTTAGGGCTTTGGCTGAAATGATGAAAAAACACGTTTGCCATGTTAGGGATCAGCGCCTCGACTCCTGCCACCTCCGGCTCCAACGGTGATCGTGTTTTGATGTGTTTACTGAATTGTCCTTTGCTGATGAGGAATTTTTAAAGTAATTCTTAGAGTAAGTCCTTTGGTAGGCAGATGCTACATGGAAGGAAAGAAAGAAAGAAAGAAAACACAACAATATTACTTGCTCCATACCCTAAACGACCGGTACCACAGCCGTAAAATGAGGGAGTCTAGAAGTTGGTATAGCACGGTTGTCCATTCGCTCTAAAGGACCACTTACGGTTCAGGCAGGTAATTTTAGGCATAGCCCATCTTCCGTTCCCTAGGCACCGGATGGTTGGAAGGTGGCGCTGAATGAAACCATCTTTGCAGTGGTATCTGATCAGGGAGTTGACTTCGTAACGCGGCTTCATCTTCCCAAAGGTCTTGGCATTCTCTACAACAGGGGGTTGGCCGCAAGCAACTGAAGAAAAGCACATTGGGTTATTTCCAAATACTCTAAACATTTCAATTAGCACGAGTCTCTCTCCCTCTCTCTCTTTGTCCCTGTTTATGGTGTCAAACCATGAACTGTACTAAAAGGCACTCATCTAGAACCGTTCAAGAAGAAAAGCAATTTCGAGGCTCTGGGCCTGGTTTGAATCTTGGATTGTGTCATCTTGAAGTGTATTTTATAGTGAAGACTCATAGAGCTAATCAGCTGTATGGTCATCTGTCCATCCAGTAGGGTGATTTTTTTTTTTACTCCAAATTTAAAAAGCACCAATTTCATGTCAACATGTCACTTGCTGGTAGGTTCATCAACAGCCCAAAGTTTTCTTTATTACCCACCTTCACTTGGGAGAACAATGAATGTGTAAGAATTATTTATTGCATTGCCTCCCTGAAAAAAACTTGCAATCTATAATGACCTCAAAGTTTTGAAATAGGGACACACACTACGAAATGGAAATGAAGTCTCCCTGGTTCCATTTGCATTGATTTGCTCTTTTCTGTCCTTACACAATGTTCTTGCCTCTCTTTTGTGATTACCTTCACAAATATGCATGTGAACTCTTGAGAAGAATATATGAAGGTAAGGTTAAAACACTCAACCGTCATTTCAAATCTATAATGAATAAGTGTTAAATATAACAAAGCTAGCAATAAACAGAAATAGTAAAAAAAAAGAAAAGGAAAAAAATCTGTGGATTTTGAAATTCAAGAAGCTGGGAAAATTGGTTCAACTGAATTTGTGTTAACACTTCTAGTCAACACGAGTGTACTCATTTTAAATGATACACTTAACCTTAAAAATTAATCTTTAATAGATTATGTTTTACTATAAATCTCTAGTAAAAATGTAACAACTTAACTTTCCCCAAATGGTGTTTCCCATCCACATTTACTTTAAGATTTCTGATACCACAAGAACAGGCCACATTCTTCAGAAAATAGTGTGAATCTCCAATGGGACAAAGATTCCCAGAAAACATAGTGCTAAGATGTTTAGATGTCAATGTTCTAAAGTTAAATACTCACAGGTACTAAATTTATTAGCATATTTAGAAGGCTATATTTTGCAATAGCTAATTTGGGTTTAATGTAAATACCTAGATTCTCTAATTAACTTCTGTGTGACCCCCATCTCGACACCCACACACTTCGTTTATTATGGTATGAAAATCCTACACCAGAGTCCAGATACCAACAAGTATCAGAGACAAAGGCACACAGAAATTTAAAAATGACCAATTAGATAATTCATTATACTTCGTTCTAGACTACGCTGAGAAAGTATAAGTTGTTGTTATAATTGGGAAGAAAGAATTATTTGGTTTCTTCTGAAAGTATTCTTATATGTAGATATGTAAAAAAACTAAAATACTTGTGGTATTGGCACAGATAGGAAATAGACCAGAAATAGATCCACACATATATGCTTGATATTTGACAGAAGCAACACAGCTGAGCGAGGGGAAAAGCTAATCTCATTGCCTGGACAAGTGGGTATTCACATGGAAAAATACAGCTGGTTCCCTACTCAGAGAATACATGGAAAATCAGTTTTGGATGACTGAAATATATAAATATAAAACGCAAACTATAGAATACTTAGAAAGCACTACATAATGCTTTTATGATTTTAAGGTTGGTAAATATTTCTTATGAGAACAAAAGATTTAAACTGTAAAGGAAAATTCAACAAAATAAAGAATTCTGTTCATTAAAAAATGCAACAGTGCTAAGAGTAAGGGAAGGTACAAACTTGGAGAAGTATTTGCAACATATACAACTTTCAAGGGCTTAGCAACCAGAATGCAAAAAGAACTCCCTCATAAAAATATTTTTTAGATAAGCACCCTATTTATATTCAAAATAAGCAAAAGACATAAATAGAACCTTTATAAAAGAGAGCTATAAATGAGGTACAAGTGTTTGAAAAGATATTTAGAAGAAGTACCTAAGAAAATGGAAATTAAATCACAACAGATAACATTTCATACCCACCAGATTGGCCAAAATTTCAAAGTCCAATAATACCAAATGTTGGAGAAGATGTGGAGTGACAGGAGCTCTCACACATTGCTGGTGGGGGTGCAAATTGGTACAACACTTTGCAAAATAATTTGGCATTTTCTAGTCAATTTGATGGTACATATATCCTATGACTCAGCAACTTCGCTCCTGGAAATATAGCCTACAAAAACTCACAAAAGTCTATCATGAACAAGTTCAAGAATGTTCATAGAAATATTGTTTATAGCAGCAAAAACACAGAATGTAACCCAAATGTCCACTGACAGGAGACCTGGTGAACGGACTGTGATGGCGTCATTCAGGACAAGATAGACAGCAGCAAACATGAAGAACACGCAGCCACACGCACCAACACGGGTCCACCCCAGACACGATGCTGAAGGACAACAGAGGCGAGGCACAGCCTGCACACAGAGCTCCAGAAGTGCACAACGCAACCGTGTTCCCAAGGATGCAGCTTGTGTGGTCACAGGACTGGGAAAAACATGGCCATGACGTCACCTCTGGTGGGAGTCAGGCAGGGAACGGATGCAGTGGGGAGGAAACCACAGGCTGTCCCCAGGCACACAGATACTGTGCACTGAGTACTCTATGTTTTAAGTGCCTTTTGTATATCTCATCATCCTTCTTACAAGTATTTAATTAATCAAAAGGAGGACTACCTAGGTCTGTAGATTTATAGGTGTCTAAAACACCAAAAAGAAAAAGCATATCTTTTACCAAAGCCTGAATACATTTATAAAATTTCCTGGAGTAATGGTTAGCAATGTACTGATACACCAGAGAGAGGTGGCAACTGATACAACAGAGACACATGGCAACATCTAGATATTTTCCATTGTTGCAATGCAGGGGGCTGGGGGATGGGTTAAGGACCTCCCAGTGTTCCCTACATAGAGGACAGGGAGGACCCTAAGCCCTCTAGCATGTACAAGACAGCTGCCCACAGTAAGGAATTATCTGGCCCAAACTCTCAATCACTGTGTTGTGGGGAGATCCCACTATGGGAAAAAATAACGCAGGAAATAGAGTAACGTTTAGATCCTCTGACGGAGAGCATGGCTCCAAGGACCTAAGCGCTCAGAAGGCAAACGTAACATCTGGACGAGACAAACAGCGCACTGATGGCTTCTCACATTGGAGAAAAGGAAAACAGCAAACACTGGATTTGCGATTTTTCCGAGCTCCATCGCAGAAGTGCTGCAGTAGGGTGAGTAGCGAGGATCCGGAGAGGAAGCTCTGCCCTGCCCGAGAGCCAGCACCGGACAGACAGACAGACAGACGCTCGGCCAGCCCAGCGTCCCTGAGACCGTGGCTTTGTGTCTCTCTTCAGAGTTCCCTTTTTGTTCCGACAGAATGTCTGACTACTGGTGTGTGACCTTCCTAAAATCTTTATAGAATGTGCCTTTCTAGGCTCATTATTCTTCTATTAGAGATGAATAAATCAAATGGGTTTATCTTGTGCACTTGTACCATGTACTCTTACTTAATGTGGGTAAAAGCTTGGGTCCAGGGACTACACAGTCAAGTTTTTTAACACCATGATCAAAAACAATGTTAAAAGTATTTGTGGAGTTTCTGTTTGTTTAGGGAAGACATCTATACAGTATGCCTTAGAAGCTCAGACATAAAAAAAAAGGTTCAAACATATTGGACAATTATATACACAAAAAACACCTTTCAAAAACGAATTTTCTTAATTTTTTCTATATAATCTTAACTAAGCAATTCTCACTATAGAATTCCCAATTACACTTTTTTTTTGTTTTATCGTATCTTGAAGGCATTCAATCATGGATAGAGGGATGGCATTGTTGTCCCAGGGTTTGTAAGCATAAAGCAAACTTCTAGAAGATGGATCAAAAAACCCTGAAATGCCCCGAGACCAGGTGGTGAGCCAAACCAGGAGCACCTGACGGGGGACTGGCACGCTCTAGAGGGGCCCTGGCTTCAGCCCCTGGCCTTCTGCACTTGATCTTAGCCCTCTAGAGGGGCCCTGGCTTCAGCCCCTGGCCTTCTGCACTTGATCTTAGCCCTCTAGAGGGGCCCTGGCTTCAGCTCCTGGCCTTCTGCACTTGATCTTAGCCCTCTAGAGGGGCCCTGGCTTCAGCTCCTGGCCTTCTGCACTTGATCTTAGCCCTCTAGAGGGGCCCTGGCTTCAGCCCCTGGCCTTCTGCACTTGATCTTAGCCCTCTAGAGGGGCCCTGGCTTCAGCCCCTGGCCTTCTGCACTTGATCTTAGCCAAAAGCCGAGAATCAATGCTCCTACACTTCTGACCACTGACAACCCTTATCACGGCCCAAATGTACCAGGACCTCATATTTTTTAAACAAGCCCCAAATCCAAATTATTTTAGGATATACATCCCAACTTTTAACTGGACTACTCATTGTGTTATTTTCTCCTCATCAAAGTAAGCACGTTTTGGACCCCTTGGGCCAGCTGTTGCGTTTCTTAAAGTTTCCACCATGCAGGTTTCCTCCATAAATGCCCCATTGTTATTTCAAGCACTCCAAGTGTAAGGTGAGAACACTACTGGAAACAGACTTTTAAATTGTCCTGGACGAGTAAAATCTTGCAGAGCCAAGGGAGATGGCCTATGCAACACATCCAGTTTGTATCTCCAAGAATATAGCTCCTGCCTCCGGAATTCCCTTGGTAACAGCGCTGCACTTTAAGTCTACGTGATTAATGGGCAACAGTTACCTGTCCCTTTCTTGCAGGTGTAGGTGAGGTGGTAGTTGCAGGGAACATCATTCCACTGGCCGTTCTCGTGCCAGATGATCACCACGCAGTCTTCTCCAGCCGAGAAGAAGCTGTCTGGCTGGTTGGGTCTCCAGTTCTCGTATTGCTATAAAAGTGCAGGAAATAGGTTATTAGCAGTTAAAGCAACCCAGAGCAACAGCCCAGTCTCTCTGGAAAGAATTCCACTTCTGTGGGACCACACAGACAAAATCATTTTGATGGTCAAAAAAAAGACGACTTTCAAATGGAAAATATTTGTGTCTCAACGTCTTTTCTCAACAAACACCTACTCCTTGGTGGGGAGAAATTTCTGAAAATTTAGCTCTAGTTAGCGTAGATTTCTAAATATATAATCAACACTCAGTGTAAGAAATTTCATCATTATAACAGACTTAGAAGTGAAATTAGAAGAAAAATTGTGCATATCTGAATGTATCTGCTTGTGATCGGAGTGCAACAGAGTCTTTAAACTTTTATTACATTTAGCACTATAAAATACATTTGTCTTATTTAGTGTAATAGTTTCTAATGAAAATTCCTTTGTTACTTAAAACTGATATGATTGTAGTATTATTTTTTTCTGTGATACACTCATGTCCATCATTTTATATACAATGGTTAGAATTTATTTTGTTTGAGATTTCATTCTTCATCATACATTTGAACTCTATGATCTAATCTAGAATTGATTTATTTTTAATAGGAACATTTATCAGATTATACACATTGATATAGAAGGGATGCTTTCAAAAATATCTTAGTATAAATATTCACTTTGTATGTGTTCAAATAACTGAAAACAAGTTTATTATTTTGATGTTTTGCTACTGGTTACCTTTACATCCATATCTTAAATAGAGCCTGGGGGCCAGCACTGTGGTGCAGTGGGTTAAGCCGCCACCTGTACACTGGCTCCCTTTATGGGCACCAGTTTGTCCCAGCTGCTCTGCTTCTGATCCAGCTCCCTGCCAATGGCCTAGGAAAAGCAGCAGCAGATGGACCGAGTGCATGGACCCCTGCACCCACGTGGGAGACCAGGATGGAGTTTCTGGCTCCCAGCGTCAGCCTGGACCAGCCTTGGCCATTGTGGCCATCGGGGGAGTGAAACAGCAGATAGAAGATCTCTCTGTCTCTCCCCCTCTTTCTGTAACTCTTTTAAATAAATATATAAATCTTTTTTAAAAAAATAGAATCTGTTGATTCCTCATTCTAAGCCACCATTTAATTTACCTGGAAGCACCTGCCCTAGCCTTCCCTCACACCTACGTTTGCCATTTAGTAGTATCTGCAGCGGATGGAGCCCTCTTCTAGAACTTGATGTGCATTCTCTGGCAATACTCCAGTGCAAGCAAGAATCATTGGAAACTTAGACACAGTTGCTTAAATTCATTTCTTTGTGATTTTAAAATGTTGCTTCGATGGCAATCAATAATTATATGTGCCTATGAAAGCAATCTCTGTGCCTAATAAAGAAGAACAATCTTTGATTAGATGACAATAACACTGGATTAGAAATAAGAGACCAGTTTCCTGGACCTGGGTGCTCTTAATTGCAACGTGATGGAGGCAAGTGTGCTTTGTGCTTTTCTGGTTCGGCTTGACCGTCACTCTCCCAGGGCATGCTGCCCACGTCAGGTTTCCTCACATCTAACACTGACAGCATTGGTGATGGCACACTTCCTTAGCAGGCAGAAATACAGGCTGAACGACAGGTGACGAAGGCTAATATGCTGATCTTTTCTGAGTCTACACATCTGTTAGGCATTCCTTAAAGGAGACGTCCAAAAGGTCTATGGTTTGAAACAATGCATTAAAGCATTTTATGTGGGAAAATAAAGACAAAAAAGAAAGAACCACATATAAGAGAGCAGGCAATTACACTCAATTCAGAGCATGCAAAAGATAAATAAATAAAAGGAAAATGGCCCTACGGTTTCCTTACTCCCAACAGTATCGTTTCTCTATTTTTATGTCCTTTAGAATGCAGAATGTGTCTGGCCCGTTTTATTTTGTTTACCCAAGAACTGTACTGGGCCCTCGGCAGTGTTTTCGCTATCAAGAGTTTCTCTCTATGTTCTGAATCTTCAATACTTGCTGTGACAGAAGCTTCAAAGAAATCCCCTTCATCCATCATATGCGGCTTTGTTTACCAACAAACTCTAGCTCAAGGACAAAACAGTATAGCCAATATACTAGAGAATGGAACTTCTCTTCTCAGAAAAAAAAAGTGGTTTGGAACACTTTTACATATGGTAAAAACTGAGATTTTTCAGCAAAACATTTCAAGGAAAGCCCTGAAGTCTGAAATGTTTCCAACTGTCCTGCAATCTCTGTGCTTGGTTTTATTTTAAAGGCCCTCCTCAATCATGCCAAACTCAAGAGAGGCTGTGACTGCTTTTGATAGGGGAGAGTTTGGGGGAGAAGAGATCTGTGCCAGGCTAAAGAAAAAAAAAAATCAAGTCTTTGATGAAATTGCTTTTTTTAAAGATTTCTCTAGAGAAAGCCTAATCCAGAAACAAGATCGATTTCAATCCAACTCTAGCAACCCTAAGGGCACCGGATTTTCTCTCCTTCCCTGGGATGGGTGCAGGGGGAGCACACCCACTCATGCAGCCTCTCACCAGTCATTCGTCCCACAACCGGCAACTGTCAGGTGCTTGGAGCTTTCCCATGACTGTGCTACTTCCCTTGGTTTTGCCTGCTTGCTTCCCTTCACCCCCGGTTCTAGTCCCGGCTGCTGCTCTTCTGATCCAGCTCTCTGCTATGGCCTGGGAAAGCAGCAGAAGATGACCCAAGTGCTTGGGCCCTTGTGCCTAGGTGGAAGGCACAGGGGAAGCTTCTGGCTCCTGGCTTCGGATTGGCTCAGCTCCAGCCGTTGTGGCCATCTGGGGAGTGAACCGGCGATTATTGAAACTTTTTCTCTCTCTCTCCCTCTCTCTGTCTGTGGCTCTACCTCTCAAACAAATAAATAAAATCTTTTTAAAAATAATAATCATCAGGGGGACAATCTTGTGGTACAGCAGGTTAAGCCACCACTTGCAGCACCAGCATTCCAACTGGGCACTGGTTTGCGTCCTGGCTGCTCCACTTCCAATCCAGCTCCAGGCTAAATGCCTGAGAAAAGCAGCAGAAGATGGACCGATTCCCGGGACCCTGAACTCAGGTGGAAGACCCGGAAGCAGCTCCTGGTTCCTGGCTCCTGCCATGGCATTCATTTGAGAAGTGAACCAGCAGATGGAAGATTCTCTCTGTCTCTCCCTTTAACTCTGCCTTTCAAATAAATCAATCTTTAAAGAAAATAATCTGGGTTGGGGCCGGTGCTGTGGTGCAGCGGGTTAAAGCCCCAGACTGCAGCACTGGCATCACATATGGGTGCCAGTTTGAATCCCGGCTGCTCTACTTCTGACCCAGCTCTCTGCTATGGCCTGGGAAGCAGTGGAAGATGGCCCAAGTCCTTGGGCCCCTACACCTGTGTAGGAGACCTGGAAGAAGCTCCTGGCTTCAGACCAGCTCAGCTTTGGTCATTTCGATCATTTCGGGAGTAACCAGCGGAATGGAAGATCGATCAATCTCTCTCTCTCTCTGGCTCTACCTCTCTCTGTAACTCTGTCTTTCAAATACATAAAAAAAATTCTTTTAAAAAAAGGATCAGATATGTGAACAACATTTTATGTAAAATAAGGAGGAAGTAGGACTAAACCTACAGAATGAACCTATGTTCAGTATATTATGACGTAAGTGGATAAACAGAATTTTATGTAAACATTCTGTCCTTGAAGAACAGAAAGTAGAAAATAGTACAATAAGTGACAAATGAAAATATATAAGGATCGACATATTTACAGATAAAAATAAAACCCAGGCCGGCACTGCGGCTCACTTGGCTAATTCTCCACCTGCGGCGCTGGCACACCGGGTTCTAGTCCTGGTTGGGGTGCCAGATTCTGTCCCGGTTGCCCCTCTTCCAGGCCAGCTCTCTGCTGTGGCCTGGGAGTGCAGTGGAGGATGGCCCAAGTGCTTGGGCCCTGCACCCGCATGGGAGACCAGGAGGAAGCACCTGGCTCCTGGCTTCGGATTGGCGCAGCGCGCCGGCCCTAGCAGCCATTTGGGGGGTGAACCAACGGAATGGAAGACCTTTCTCTCTGTCTCTCTCTCTCACTGTCAAAAAATAAATAAATAAAACCCAGTATAATTTTCTAAACTTCATATTTGAATACATGAAATTGATAGATAATACTTTATTCCATATATTCCTTAATATTTTCCAAGTTGTCTAGAGTTGAGCAGGAGTTATTCCTCTCATCAGTAGGCAAGCACCTTATGCATGGATGTCTGCATTTATCAGACGGGACGGACTTAGCGATTTCCCAGGTACCCACAGTGCACCTAACCTCAGCAAGCACTACTCAATGAGGAAGTCCCTTGACAGTCACAGATCTCAGGGCTGACACTTCCTGCTGGTGTGCACAGTAAGCATCTCACGTTGACAGGAGACAGCATCCACACGGAATGCTGCTGAAGGCGCTCTTGGGACTTAAACTGCCCCATCTCGGGGGAAAGATTTACTTGCCTTTGGTGGGAATTATTTTGTGGCTGGCATCACTGATTCACAATGTGTGTTTCCGCTGTTGCTTGGTGGAGCTGTGGTTTAAGGGTGCAGGACCAAAAGTGAGCTCTGTGGTTTTTACAAGAATGTCTGATAGCCACAGGCATGCGGCAGGATTACCTCATATCTGATAGCCCCATTGTGCAGATTTATCTTGGCTGGGCTGCTTGGATTTCGCTCCTTGTTATTGCCAAAGCGACTTGAGCAAAGAAACTCCATCCTGCTTCCTTCTGATTGCTTCACAGCTCCCAAACGGGGAGCGGATCCCACGTGGGGTCTTCCAAAAATCCATGCAAACTGCTTCTTATGAAACAACTATGCATTGTTCCAAAGTTTTTCCCCACCCAAATAAATCTTCCTTTCCACGGACTTGTTGGCGTGCCCTTGTCTATACAGAAATAAAGATGGCTGGGATAAGCAGAACCCCCAGCACTGAACTTCCTTCTCCTGGAATTGCGAGCAAACATCCTGGGTGATCTTTCCTGAACTAATCCTCTTCT